TCCATGACGACTACAATAACAAATAGCCTCAGGCACTTTTCTTTAAAATTACTTCTTCACTCCTCAAAATTTGCTAACTGTAGCACGCATGGAGGTGAAACTTGGTACGCATGTGTATTACATCATTTCCATGACGACCAAAATAACAAATAGCCTGAGGCACTTTTCTTTAAAATTACTTCTTCACTCCTAAAACTTGCTAACTGTAGCACGCATGGAGATGGAACTTGGTACGCATGTGTATTACATCGTTTCCATGACGACCACAACAACAAATAGCCTGAGGCACTTTTCTTTAAACTTACTTCTTCACTCCTAAAACTTGCTAACTGTAGCACGCATGGAGATGGAACTTGGTACGCATGTGTGTAACATCGTTTCCATGACGACCACAACAACAAATAGCCTCAGACACTTTTCTTTAAAATTACTTCTCCACTCCTCAAACTTGCTAACTGTAGCACGCATGGAGATGGAACTTGGTACGCATGTGTGTAACATCGTTTCCATGACGACCACAATAACAAATAGCCTGAGGCACTTTTCTTTAAAATTTCTTCTTCACTCCTAAAACTTGCTAACTGTAGCACGCATGGAGATGGAACTTGGTACGCATGTGTGTAACATCATTTCCATGACGACCACAATAACAAATAGCCTGAGGCACTTTTCTTTAAAATTACTTCTTCACTCCTAAAACTTGCTAACTGTAGCACACATGGAGATGGAACTTGGTACGCATGTGTGTAACATCGTTTCCATGACGACCACAATAACAAATAGCCTGAGGCACTTTTCTTTAAAATTACTTCTTCACTCCTAAAACTTGCTAACTGTAGCACACATGGAGATGGAACTTGGTACGCATGTGTGTAACATCGTTTCCATGACGACCACAATAACAAATAGCCTGAGGCACTTTTCTTTAAAATTACTTCTTCACTCCTAAAACTTGCTAACTGTAGCACACATGGAGATGGAACTTGGTACGCATGTGTGTAACATCGTTTCCATGACGACCACAACAACAAATAGCCTCAGACACTTTTCTTAAATTACTTCTTCACTCCTAAAACTAGCACGCATGGAGGTGAAACTTGGTACGCATGTGTGTAACATCGTTTCCATGATGACCCCAACAACAAATATATAGCCTCAGGCACTTTTCTTTAAAATTACTTCTTCACTCCTCCAACTTGCTAATGGCAGCACACATGGAGATGAAACATGGTGTGCATATCATTTCCATCACGACAACTGCCATTTTTTCCCTCTGTTATTAATTTTTATAGGGGCTTGCCCCCTTCCACAGAGATAATACGTAGTAGTATATAAAAATGAGTGGAGACAAGTAAATTAAAAATCCTGTGAATTTAAAAAAAGAGGCATATAGGGATGGTATAAAAAGAAAGGGAGACAAGATGGGGATTGGATACATGAAGCATGGTTATTGAACAGATTTGAGTACGCTGACACCCCCAACCCCATCACACCATCCCTATATTGTTGCCTAGGTGAAGTATTGAACATTTACTGAGTAACCAACACCCTTATAGAGTCCAAGTGGAGTTTAATTAAAGGGAATGTGGCAGTATAAATGTTACTAAAAGCAACAAGGACACAGTGAAACAATGCTTGCTTTAAGTAACCTTTAGCCTCTATAAGAGTAGCACACCAGCCAACAATATAGGGATGGTGTGATGGGGTTGGGGGTGTCAGCGTACTCAAATCTGTTCAATAACCATGCTTCATGTATCCAATCCCTATCTTGTCTCCCTTTCTTTTTATACCATCCCTATATGCCTCTTTTTTTAAATTCACAGGATTTTTAATTTACTTGTACTTCTTGTATTTCAGTTTAAAGAACCCTCCACACACCCTACACAGTAGCTGGAGATTTGTAGTGTGCTTGTCATTTGTTTCCATTCTAGAAAAATTTCTTGCAGAAGTAGATAATGGTTTTTGTGCTCTAATACTATTGAAGCACTTGCTAACAGTTTCCGCATCCGCGAAGGTATTATGTCGTAGCTCTAGCGTATCGTTTAGGGTTAGAATGGACCGCTTCTGCCGTACTACGGACTGTGTTGGACCACTAGCCTTGCGAAGGTACGACGGGTCAAGCTGCTGTTTATGAATAATTAATTAGCACATTGTGAACGTGCGCGCGTGAACTGAATTTTAAAGTCAGTCCCCGTGCACGTACATGCATGACTAGGGAAACCTGGCGTAGTTACCCTCAGCTGAGAAATCCCCACGTAAGTTAGTTTAAGCAAAAACCAGCTTAGCATTTTTGGTGGAAAATATACACAAAATTACAGGAATATGATTGATTCTGAAGGGCCACTATACTCAACTTCCCTATCACTGTTGTGTGTGGGCAGTAGTTGGGAGAGCAAGTACAGTGTTAGAGCACACTCAGATCTTCTGGCTGTCTATGGTGTCTTGGTTGAGAGAGATGGTCCTGCAATTCACCTCCAAGAATTCTGCCATGCTTGCTACTGCAGAATGAAGAGAGAGAGACAACAATACTAAACTCCCTGACCCCCCTAGACTCCCTTATTCCCATGACTCCCTAGACCCCAAAGACTCCATTCACTCCCATGACTCCCCTGATTCCGAATCCTGTAACTCCCCTGACTCTCACGACTCTCCTGATTCCCTGGACTCCCTTGATTCCCGTAACTCCCTGACCCCCAAAACTCCCCTGACTCCCTTGACTCCGATGACTCCTGGCCGACTTGGGCTAGAACAATCTCCCTTGTTGTTACCCTTGTATTGTTTGTATGCTACTAATGTGAATTTGGATGACATGTATATACAGTGCATGATCTGCTTATAAACACCTTTCACAAAGGTATGGTAGCCATAGTAAGGCTCTACTAGGAGAATGTTGAGCACTGTTTGCGACCCAATTGGGGCAGGGCTGAGCACATGAGCCTGTGTTGTCAGCCTGGTTTAGAAAGTGGTCCAATGGACGTGATGGGATGTACAAAGTTTCACATGCTCCCGCTCGCCAATAATGTTAGGCAGGAGAAAAGTGGCTGTTATGTAAACCTCTTCCCTATCTCCCTAACCCGCGTTGTTGCACAGAGCATGTGCCTCATGATCTGTAATATTGCGCGTATTTAGGAGAGTTCAAGGGGACTAATAGAGTCCAGGGGTTCAAGGGAGTCAGGGGAGGCAGAAGAGTCTAGTGGGTCCAGGTATACTAGGGACTCAGGGGAGTCGATTTAAATGAAGTAACAAGCGAAACTCTTCTAAGGCGGACTTATAGCGTGCTGCGGAGGCATCAGAAGTTACAACGGAAGGCGACTGTCAGTCTGTTCACGTTCACCTTGCCGGTACGAAATCCACTGTAACTTCACTATACTATGACTGATTCCGGAGTTTTAACGCCCAATGCGTTTTAGGCGCAGCGCTGGTTCTAATTATGTGGCCTACATTTGCGTCAGACGCATGTTTGTGAAGTTAGCTGTATGTCTCAAAAAAGTATGGGCGTTCCGCTCGCCACAAAGTATGGTGCAGGGCCCGGATATGCGCCTACTATGTTTGACAAACGTGTTGCTGCAAGCGGGTTCTACTAGGACTATGTGCTGATACTTACTACGCACCTAAAAGCTTTGCTTTGACGAAGCCAACTCGCGCTAATCCGCTCGGAGTGCTGTCCCTGCACGCGCTGTCGCTGGAGCCTAAGAACGCTTTCATACGCCATAAATATGCGCATTATAATCGATTATGACGCACACTTGTGTAAAGAGTTTTGACTGCTCACTTCCAGCAGCAAGGTGAATGAGAACAGACTTTAGTCTCTAGCTAGCCAGTGCTAGACTCTCAGAAAGGGGTGAGTGTAAAAACTGGACTATGGACCATGGACTGGACTGATGGACTGCAATGGACTGGACCAATGGACGGATGCTAGTGTGGCTGGTCCGCCCTACACACACCTCGCTGTATACGAACAAACAGCGACATGAATGGGTTCAGCGCTACACTTGCCTCGCTTTGAATTTCGCAATGAAGCAGCAACTTTCAAAAAGAGGCGGACTAGCTATGTGAATTGCTTACTTCACCGTCCTGCTCCTAGGAAGCATCAGAATTTACATGAAGGGCGATTTCATGGCCGAATGCTGCCTATTATGCACCAGGCCAACGATGCAGCTTCCTATTATGCACCAGGCTAACGATGCAGTCAGCCCCCTGCAGTGTGCAAACAAGCTTTAAGTGGCGAAGATGCATCTAGCGCGCTCATGCACAGTGGAAAAGTCGGATGTAACTCAAATTAATGTGCTGTGTCCATTCATTACAAGAAAATTAAAAATTCTGCGAATTTAAAAGATACATATAGGGATGGTATATAAAGGAAGGGAGACAAGATAGGGTGGGATACATGAAGCATGGGTAATGAACAGATTTGAGAATGCTGACACCCCGACCCAATCACACAATCCCTATATTGTTGCCTGGTGTGCCACTCATAAACACCATTTGTACCCCTGGTTACTCAGTAACATGAATTAGCAAGCTGTAAGTCCTGACTATGTTTAATAATTCACCTTGGCAACAATATAGGGATTGTGTGATGGGGTCGGGGGTGTCAGCGTCCTCAAATCTGTTCATTAACCAACCTTCATGTATCCCATCCCTATCTAGTCTCCTTTGCCTCTTTTTCACAGAATGTTTAATTTACTTGTCTCCACTCATTTTTATATACTACTACATATTCAAAGGGGGCAATCAAAAATTAATAATAGAGAAAATGCCTGTTGTCGTCATGGAAATGATGTAATACGTGCATGTTTGCTGCTGTTAGCAAGTTTGAAGAGTGAAGAAGTAAATGCCTGAAGCTATTTGTTGTTGTAAACAGTGTATGGTCGTACGATGTAATGTGCATGCATACCAAGTTTCATCTGAAAGTTTGAGGAGTTAAGAATAAATTTTTTTTAAAAGGCTATTTGTCTCAAACTAAAGTGCAAACCTTCGGCGAACTGCGCATGCGCGGTACCACTAACTGATGGGCTGGGCTATTAGTATGTGTTTACTCGTGGTCTCCCGCTAGTTGCTCGCGGAGAGTCTGACACGGGCTAGCTACACTACTAGATAGCATGCATGAGTCGATCGACGCCCTTCGTTGTGACTTCTTGTGCCTTCAAGATACAAAGAGAGAGCGGACCCGGTCGAGGTAAGCCTGTGCTAATTGGCTTGTTGACTCAGTTTTCGCGCCATAACTCTCAAACAAAGTGGTTTTACGAAAATCAACAAATGTAAAATCAAATCAAACCAGTGTAGCTCCAAACCCATTGGTGTCGCTTTTGGCGGGTTTGTTGCGCGTAGTGGCAGATAACGTGGTAATACACACACCAGACAGACACACAGATCAAGTACTATAACCCTTGCTGCCAATTTCTATGGTCAGGAGACAGTTGGCACATGTGCAGACGCAAATACGTGGTCCTATGGTCCAGTTCATCGGTCTAGTCCATCGGCCCAGTCCATGGTCCATAGTCCACAGTCCAGGTTTTACACTCGCCTCTCAGAAAGCTAGCAAAAAAACGACCATTATGTACCCCAAGCCCATCAATTAGTGGTTCATACCTGCGCATGCATATGGGTGCAACACTTATACCCTCGTGCGCTGAGCGTTTGCACTTTAGTGCTTTTTTGGTTTGTGTTTATTTACCCTTTGTAAGCATGCACAGCAAAGGTTGCGTTATCACTATTCTATTAGGCTACTAGACAGCCAACAAGTGATACTAATACTATGAGAGTTTGCTATATTGTTACTTTTTCGTGAATTGTTGCAAGAAACATGAGTGAAGTCACTGATGCAGCCTGTCGATGTTAAACTGACATTAGTGACTGCGTAGCCTGGCCCAGCCCTATCAGTTTTATGCATGTATAGTGCAGTGCTTTGGCAGAGGAGAGAGAGTGAGGCATACCATGAAGGTTTATCTTGTGGCAATAATTTGTACTTAAGTGATTTTGTTGTCTTGTCCTTTCACAGAGATACAATATGCCCTCCAGGCCTGTGGTGGAAACTTTTAAACACCCCCTATGAAACCAGAAGGTAATCCAAGAGTTGATGCTCAAACTTAAGAATGATAACTCGAATGATAACCCTTGCAGTGTTTGGAGTGTTTTGAAGCATTCAAACACCCCTCCATTTGAGATCTTCTTATCAATTACTGACCTGTTTTCCGGAGATTATCATCTTTTTGAACGTCTTTATATTGAAGGTATAGCAGTGTAAGATCTCAACAAACTGTGTCTATGTTTAGGTACACACATGCCTATAAGTTAAGTCTGCACTTCTTTTTACGTGAAATACTGTGCTACGTTAATTCATTTCAGTGTTGAAGTCCCTACACATTCCTTTAACATCAACACTACAGATAATGCATGGCTACTCATCTACATACTTCAAAAACAGTTGGCATCACACTTGCTTTAGAATATATAGGCACAGTGTACCCATTTTACTTCTTAATATGCACACATATTCTGGTCCTTTGGCAGCTCATTATGAAGATTTGCTCCAGCGACAACAAAATGACATTAGGCGTATCGAACGAGAAGAAAATCTTGTTATCCCAAGTGAACTATCCTTTGAAAGGTCTGTCTCTATCTGTATAACTTGTATATCCTGGATTACCCTGCTTAATTAACCCTCGGCGTGCATGCGCAGCAAGGGTTATAGTACTTGGTTTGTCATTCCGTCCGTCTGTATGTCTGTTACCACATTTTCTCCCGCTATGCGCAACAAGACAGCCAGAAACCGAATGGGTTCAGTGCCACACTGGCTTTATTTTAAAATAGCGATTTTGGTAAAAATGCTGCATTCGAAAGTTATGGCGTGAAACAAAGTGAAGGAGCTAATATGCAATTTAGCACTGCCTTACCTCGGTCAGCTCTGCGCACCTTGGAGGCACTAGAAGTTGCAACGCAGGACGAGTATCAACTCCCGCGTGCTATCTAGCAGTGTAGCAAGCCTGTGACCGACTCTCAGCGAGCTGGTAAGCGACCACGAGTCAGTAAAACGGTAAAATTGGACCAGCCCACCAATTAACAATGCCGCACATGCGTACGGTATAGCGTGTACGTCATCCGCATCTACACCTTGCATGGGACAAGGCTGCGTAGGAAAGCATTGCAGGTGACCTGCTGAGACAAAGCCTGCCAAGTAAGAAAATGTTAATATCCTGCTCCTCCCCCACACCATTCAGACATCAGAATGTACACAGGGAGAGCAAGGATCTATCCTACTGATGTAGCCAGCCCATTGTGAGATGTAGCAGCTTAGTAGTATGTACATGTACTTAAGCATGTGTATACAAATTAATCACGCCCACTGCACCGAGTGTTAGCACTTCAGTGCCTTTCATTATGACTGTAATGAGAGATGTGTTGTATCACCATTATAGCATGTATCTGCTATACACAAGCGTAAGGGGTCACATGAGGCGCTTGTGTGATCCAGATTTTTGAAAGTCGCCATTGCTGATCAATCTAGTGAACCTCTTGTGCAGGCCGCAAGTGCCCGATAGCCTGGCTTGGGCCAGACAAACTCATTACATGGTGTCAGAGGTGGTATAGTGAGGCCCAAAGCCCTGAGTCGACACAATAGAACCGGATCACAGATCGCGACCAGCAACTACACACTACCTCCCCCAGTACCACTCGAGATTCACAAAACGGGGGGTTCCGTGGAACCCAAGAAAACGCCCTGGATCCGCCACTGTGAGGCTGTGAATGAAGAAAGTGATATTCATTTGACATGTGGCCACCGATGAGGGCGTTCGTGCAGATCCTGACAAAATACAGGCCACCACTGAGATGCCACGGCCTGTTGACGTAGGGGGAATGCAGTGCCTGCTGTGTTATGGCCCAATACCTGCCAAACTTCCTCCCTCACCTGTCGGATATTGCCAAGCCACTGAGGGACCTGACGCACAAAGAGATGGAATGGGTGTGGGATCAGCCCAACACAGTTGCTGGAAGCCATCACGAACATCCCCGTTCTGTGGTACTATAACCTTGCAGAGGATGTCACCATCTAGTGTGATGCTTCCCAGACTGGATTAAGAGCGGCCCTAATGCAGAGTGGTCAGCCAGTGGCATATGCTTCTCGGTCCCTGACGGACACAGAGATCAGGTATACACAAATTGAGAAAGACCTGCTGGCCATTGTCTTTTTATACAATTGATTCTATGCTTACATTTATGACAGGGAGGTGATCATTGTCGGGTGAGACCACCAGCCACTGGAGACCATAATGAGGAAGCCCCTCAATGATGCACCCAAACGATGCATACTCATGCAGCTACAGAAGTCAATCTTAGCTACAAGCGGGGTAAGCAAATGCATTTGGCAGATACACTCTGTCGAGCTTACCTACCTAGGGAACAATCAGTGGCAGAAGTAAAAGAGCTGGAGTACGTGAGCCACGGCCCTTGCCCCAGACGACCTGCATCGACTTCAGCATGGAGCATCGCAGAACATGGCAATGCAGGAGCTTCGCCATGTCATCCTGCAAGGCTGGCCTGGCAACAAAGCAGAGGTGCCCGATGCAGCCCGTCCGTACTTTGATTTCGAGACCAGATGACTGTACAAGATCAGCTTGTTTTCAAGGGTTCGGTACCAGTAGCACTGCGGTCGTAGATGAAAGCTAAATGCCACGCCACACACATTGGGATTGAGGGGTGTGTCCGAAGGGCTCGCGAGTGGCCATGAATGTTATCCGATTTGCATCTCGAAGTGTGACGTCTGCCTGGATCACCAAAATGCCCTGGCAAAGGATACACTTATGCAGCATGAGATCATAGCTCGACCATTGGCTAAAGTGGGTGCTGACCTCTGTGACTCGTAGGGCAGAGAATGGCATCAAAACCATCAAGCGCTTATTCAAAGAAACAGGTCAGTCAGAATACCAGGCCCTGCAAGACTGACGAAACATGCCAACAGCGAGTCTTGGATCCAGCCCTGCCCCGCATTTCCTTGGCAGGTGGTGCCGGACACTGCTATCCATGACTGAGACACTCCTGAACCCGGCATATGATACCACGGCCAATGCCAGAGCACTGAAAGGGAAAGGAGCAAAGCAAGCACACTACTACAATGACCTGCCTCCGGTATCACTGGGAGAAATAGTGAGACTGCGGCTCCCTGGGGAAAAGCGGTGGACTGTGGGAATATATATGCACCAGCTTCCAAGGCCTGTGCAGCTATGTAGTCCGAGTGGGTGAGACAGAATATCATCGTCATCTAATCTGAAGTGGTGAACCACCGATGACAGAACATGGGCCAGAGGAACTCGTTGCATTGACAATGCTATGTATCTGCAAGGTACGTTTATGCTTAATAGGCTTTTGTTAGACATTCATGAGAATCACTGTATATGAGACTGGTAATAAGTAACCCAGAAGCCATAGAGATCAAAGTGCCTCCGTTCCACTAGCTACACCCGACCACTTCCTGAAGGATATTCAGGAGGCCTCACAGTCCTATGTAGACAGTGTGCTTCTCTCCCATTGTTTTGGTCCTGCCGTTGTAGTTGAAGTTCTCGTCCTAATATATTATTTCCCCTCGGAGGGTCAGAATCTTCCACTTGATGATTAGCAGAATCTTTGTTAACCCTGCCAGTTGATTCTGTGACAACACCCCCAACCACCCCCCGTCCCCCCAGGGTTGTATCTGATCCATTCCCAATGCGTTTCACCTGTCACAAACGACAGTGAGTCATCTGCTTCTGAATCCTGTAAGAGAGGGCTGTGGTTGGTCGTTAAATAGAGTGGGTTGTGGAGTCAGAGTAGACAGTGTTGTCGGCAAGTTCCTACTCTGTGTTATGATTCTCGGACTGAGGGTCATCACCTGGTTCACCAATAGCATTAGAAGTGGGCTCTAATTCCTCCAAGGTAGTCAGGAGCTCTCTGATTATGGTGAATCATAAAGGATGCTCCAGAGTCACTCTCGGGTCCCATGTGAGAGTAGCTGTTCCACAAATCTAGGTGACTGGCAAAGGCCCTTGTGTGCTCTAAAATACGCCAGTAATACACAGAAGGGAATCCAACTTGGCAAGGGGACACACTGTTCTGATGGACATAGATTTCCCCATGTTGGGGAATGTAGACTTTGGCAGATGCTAAGTTTCATGACTGACCCAGTATGGCTTGGACATCTTCCTGCACTTACTAGTGTCTTCACGTGGAAAAATAATTATATCAAAACATGAGCTCCAACCTTGGCTGAAACTCTGTCATAGTTTCCCTTCTACCGAGCCCTGCCTACCACAGCGTCTGCATACTCCACCTCTTTCAGCAGATCATGAATAAATGCTGAGAAGAGAAGAGGGGCAGTATTACTGGGGGATATCCTGTACTGCTTCAGTGCCCGCAGGTTAACCATTTTCTAACTCAGGAACACCGCTACGCCGTGGTAGCCAGTTCTAGTGAAGGTCTACATGTTGCCAATTGAGCATGCTGCGGACCGTTCGAATGTGGACTACAGCATTACTCCATTGACTATACCTTCCCATTCCTCAAGTACCTTAACAACGAAGACTCTTCCCTTCCGACCTTTGTCTACCTTTCCTAATGCTTTCCGAGAACGTACGTATTTACCTCTTGACCCAAAGCTGCCTTGTATCTAACCCTAACATCATCATCGTCAAACCTCTCTATAATAATTATGCCACTTGGCTTGGCTTTGCTCATGTTTACTCAGGCTGACTGACTGTCTACCATTACAAATAACCAGTTCCACTTCGTTCAGAAACCTACTATCACTGGCCTTGCAAGTATCCACCCCAAACATTCCAATTACATCCCAACCCTAGCAAATAAATCCCCCAATAGCATTATTATCATTTAATTAACATACACACCAAAACAGGTGCAAAACGTAAAAAAGTAGATGTGATGTGTGTAGGAAAGTGATAGATCAGAGCAGTGACCTTCTGGACTTTATGCCTTCGCCAACCGAGGGCTTACCGGCTCCTTGACCGACCACTGCTCTGCTCTGCAAAAGACTATAATGTGGAAGAGCAATCATGAAGTAGAAGTTTCATAAAATAGCAGATTCAAAGGGTGAATGAAAACCAAAATATTTGACGAATTGACCGATTATTCACAGTAGACAATACATCTTGATCAGAATACAGTGGGACCTCCAATAGCGAAAATATTGGGACAGCCATTTTTTTTCATTATTCGGAGGTTTGCTTTATTGAGTGGTATAAATATATAATGGTAAAGGCAGTTGGTACATAGGAATAAGTTCATTATAGAGAGGTTTTCACTGTTGGGGGAGTTTGTTATCGGAGGTTCCACTGTATAATTGTACATGTTGATAACCATAGGTATTGTTGTAGCCTGTGAAGATATAAGAAAGATAACAGGAATCGGATTAAACAGATACGTACCAAGTGGAGAGGATGAAGAGAGAGCGAATGTGCAGAATGACGAGAAACGCTTGAGGAGGATATTTCTCATGGCAGGAACTTGACCAAGGCAATAACAAAAAGTTGTGTGAGAGTCGCGAGGCAACTTCCCTATCCGGCGTAGGTGATGGTTCGGTGTGACTTTAATTATATATTTATATCAGGCGTGGAGAGAGACCAGAGAACACAGCCGTACAAGGATAAACAGAATGATTTTAGCAGAAAGCTTTTAGAGTATTCTTGTCGCGGAGAATGCCTAAAGCAGATTAACTGTGACTTGGTGGTGTTAAACTCCAGACCATGGCAGGAGGATTAGTTGCAGCAGATGTTCAACATGATTCTTAGATGACAAGGAGCGAGTAAAACAAGGTCATCAGCATAACAGAGATACCCCCAGTAACAAACAACACCACATTCGGGCAGCAAGCCATCCAAATACACAGCAAAAAGAAGAGGATGAGGATAGAGAACACTTCCCTGACAAACTCCATTAGAAACCCCATGGACATGACACTCTTGAGTGCTATACCAAGACAACAAACGACAAGCAATGGAAGGCCACGCTCTAAGAGTTTACGAAATAAGATGTTATGATCCACAAGATTGAACGCATCAAGCATATAAAAAATTTTTTTAAAAAAGAGCCATTGTTTATGTAGTGGGACACAACATTTTAACCATGCCAATACTAACAGATGTAGAGCTGTGGGATTTGAACCCAAACTGCAAGTGACTACTGGTAAGGAACTCAGAATATTTATGAAGAATCAACCACTCCGATACCTTGCTCAATGTAAAAGGAAAGAGCAATAAGACGATAATTAGAACTCACAGATGTATCGTTGTTGCTCTTTGGAACAGAAACATGGTGGCATATATCCATGACGGACAATCGAGGTAAAGAACTGTGAGAGAGGTAAGGCAATTACAGAATGGGAAAGCTTTAAGTGTTCAGTGATGATACAGCCAGTTAGACTTAGCTGACCAATAGCATCGATTACGTCATCTTCCGTAACAAATAGATCATCAAATGTAGAAGAAGAGAATGAAGATAAAAGTAAGGGATTAGGAGACGGGGATGAGTCTGCAAACCTAGATGAAAATAAATCCACAATGTGTCGGGCATTTGATGTACCATAAACACACAGGATTTTTTGACGTGATTAAACCGCCTAACCTCACACCAAAATTTATCTTTCTTCCTTGCAGGAAAGACACAGGCAAACTTTTCACGGACAAAAACTCTCCTGCGTTTTAGACAGCGAACACCATACTTGAACCTCTTCTTAGCATTATGCCTGATGTTGAAAAGGTCACCTGCTGAATGACAGTCAGCCTCTACCCAAACCGTATGCCAAAAAAACCGACATCTCTCGGAGCTTGCCAGTACCATCTTTCCAACCAGGTAGTTTATGGAGAGAAGCGGTATAAGAAGGGAAGCAATGAATGGAACAAGATTCTAAAGTGATATAAGTAAATGGGAATTCAGCAAACCTTAGGACCTGTTCTGCAGTTGGATCAAGAGATAGATGAGGAGATCATTGGCCTCAGAGTAGATGGAGGGGATTGAATCTGAAGAGTCAAGTGTATCGAAAGCCTGAATTAAATCTTCTATGTTGCCAGTCAGCTGACTATGCTTGTCAGTGTCACGTCTAGCTTGGAAGGGCAGATTAACAGCATAAGATTCTCTGAGCACAAGCTCCAAAGATCCTTCTTGGCACTGTCAACAGCAGCGCAGCTGAAACGATCTGCAACCACTCTTTTTAAGCTATCTTTGTCACTCCTGAGACGGAAAGCTTTTATAAAAGACAACACAGGGTTGACCAAGTGTGGCTGAGGTGACTGAGCTGGCAAAGTCAAAAGATTGCCAGTGGAAGACAATGAACAAACAGCGAAACAAGGTGGCAACAAAGCAACATGCCCCTGCTACAAGGTGTAGGTTGAAGCTGAGGCATAGGGCAAGTCAAGTCGTATTCACAAAGAATGTCTCTATTTTTACTTTTCTTCCCACCAAGTGCCTCAAACTCAGGTGGAGAGTGCCAGGTCCCCTTAGCCAGGATGCATTTACCAAAGGCTTTGTAGGTTTGTTCACATAAAGCTGACCAGACAAGCTACCACAACCCACGGTAATATACCATCCATAATTATCTTCAACAAAGGAAGGCTTCAGACCTGGTTAAGCAACATGTTGTTTGTCCCCACTTCTGGTGGACATACTGTATCACTATCAATTAGGCCCAGAGGAACCAGCAACAAAGTAGAACAGAGCAAAAAACTTCACAGCAAAAAACGTCACAAACGTAGCAAAATAACATCCTCTTTAATCTTCTCGTAACTAACGTCTATACACAGATGCAATAAAGAGAGCCACCCTTCTTCTTATTCCAAGGTACCTTCATCCACACACTCTCCTCATACCTCACTCAACTGACAACTCATTCAGCTGGCACTCCCTGATTAAAGAGGAAACTCTACCCTCCCCTCTCTGACTCTTCTGGTTCTTACGAGGCTTTCCAAACCACTTATAACCATTGACATTAATCTTCTTTTCCCAAGACTCTTGCCAGCTATTATATCCTTCTGCAAAACTCCCGCTGTCTCTTTTTGTTTACGATCACTACCTAGCCCAGAAAAATTCCCAACCTTAGACCCTGTCATCCTTATTACCCTCACTATTGGCAAGCTCAAATCTTTTTACACGAGCAGGGCAGGGTATAAAGGCTTCCAGCATTTACTCCCACACTACTACATCTCCCATCGCAAAGCCTACTAAACCTATATCCGCAAGCTTCACGCGTATCTGCAGAGTCAAAAGTGACTTAGGCATTCCCCATACTAAAATGTTTGCCCTATTGCATTTGTGTGACTTACCAGCTGTAATTGTGCGCACAGACAGTTGTAGTCCTTTTCTTCTATATTAGTCAGGCCAAGCTGCTTTGTGGGGTTTGCCAAGGTGGTGTTTGGTAGCCTAGCCTAATCCAAGCAAGCTAACTGTCCAAGCTGTTAGTCAACCATGAAGCTCTAAAATCTGTCCCTTGCAACACATATGTGTAGACGAAACAAAGACGGACCATTATAACATATTTGTAGTACTATTTTGAGAAGCTCTTCCACCAGAATACTGTCAGAGCTCCAAAATATGTTATTTATGTGACCCAGGTACCCAGCAGTGTTTAGGCAAATTCATAGACGAGACAAAGATGGGGCTAAAACAGACTGGCAGACTAAAACATGAGAAATCTTTGGGGCTGAGCTTGCTGACTGGGATAGTTGTTTGCTGGATGCAAGGCATTACCTATGTACTGCCCCATGAGTTCAATACTTGCACGATTACATAACCCAGAGGTAGACGGACTGACCGGCTACAGTTGATTGGTCAGGCACTTTTCCATTCAAGCATTCAAGTTCATATATCCAGGCCCTGATCCACCACATGGACTATACAATGATTGTGTTTTAAGTGTTGGGTGCAGGTTTAATGATTGATCTGTGTGGCCCGTTGATTATGCTTTTTTTTGAATGCATTTTCAGGTTCACTAATTTGTCCCTTGAGTGCCGAGAAGCTCTGCAAATGCATCGACCACTGACAGTAAGTGTATTAAGTCATCTCCTTTTGCTTTAGTAATATGCTGCAGGAACATGCTTTGTGAGTTATCACATACGTAGCTATTGCAGCAGGAACATGGTTCTGTGTTGCTTGCGTTTAAATATAACCCCCACAACCATCTGTGCATATGTGTGCAATTGCATTGCGCATGCTCTACGGCGTCAGTTAATTTCCTGCATTGATCTTAATGTGACTGACATGCCAGAACATGCATGTAACAAGACATGCAGCAGTTTTTCAACAATTTTGTCAAACTAACACGGTAGAAACTGTGCAATTCAATTTTGCATGTGTGTTGGCCTAGTACAGTGAACGAGTCGCACATAGAACTTAAAGCAGAGTTACAGTATAGCCGTTTAAATTTCCTCAAATCTGATCGGTCAACTACGTAGGAGAAAAATAGTCAATTTCGTCTGTAGGATAAGGAGGAACACTACTATACTATAGAGGAATAGTATTCACCTCCCAGGGCCTTTGGAACTTCTCATATTTTGCGTGTGCCGCACTGTAAAACAGTTACATGACAAGTCATGGAAACAGCGTAATTCAGGAATGGCAGTAGCATCCTCGCTGCACTCGGAAGGCAACAACCCAAGGGCCTCGGCCTCCTAAATCTCCTATGCCTTTCCATCTAACTATTACATTGTGTACACTGCTACAACTGCTTCCACCCCCCTCCCCCACCAGCAAGGCAAATTTCTTTCACTGGAGTTTGTGCTCGCAGGAAAACGTTTGCTTTAGGAACTGGGTAGGCATAGGGGGAGGGAGGGTATGAAGGAGCGCGTGTTGTGTGATGATGAGTGTGAAAGTGTGAGTCATGTGTTGTGGGAGTGTCCAGCATATAGTAGTCTTAGGAGCAATTTCTTAGTTGCCCTGCAGGGGAAGCTTGGGGATGATGGGTTTGAGCATTTCCAGTCGCTTGATAGTTTCAGGAAAGCATCCTTTATATTGTGTAGTGAGCTGTGGGAGGATAATGAACAGTTCAGAACAAATGCAGAGGCAATTGTTGTTGTGGCTATACACACCCAATGTATATGCTGCTCTTGCGAACTTGCTCCCAACGGGACACAACACAGGCGACAGGTTTACTTACAGAGCTACGTAGGGCTACCGCTGTGTTATGAGCGTGCATCAGGAAACGCCCCCTGGTGAGTTAACAGCACTTGGCGTCATTCAGTGTCAGTCACAACGATCTACTGTAGTGACGTGCGAGCGAATTCTCACGTTGAGAACTGAAGGCACATAATTATTGTGAGATTTTTGAGTGCATGTATACGTATGGCCTGTAGACAATTGCTGGTGTGTTTTGAAGGCGAAGATTTGAGACTGTTAGTACGCAGATCACGTGAGATTTTACCTGTGCCACCCCTATATAGAATGTCTCTAATATTGCCACGTGGCTGCACGTTGTGCCCCCAGAACCACCTCCACATGCTCATAGATGTATGAGGTTTCAGAAAACATCCAGGGCTGCTGTTTCTGCCCAAGTGTATAACACCACATGGCTGCACGTCAGTGTACGCATGCCCAGTGTCACAGTGAGCCCGTTAGTATTGCTTCTTGACCACTTTGTTGTTGGTAGCGGATAATGTAGTAACAGACAAACAGATGGACACACCTAGTACGTACACTGAGAGTTAATTAAGGGTAAGATCTCTTCAGAAGCTTCTAAAGAAGGTATGAACTGTGTTGATGCCGGTCACTTTCTATATACCGATTTCGCAGTGTGAGAAATGAAAGAAGGTTGTTATCTGCATGTGCGGGGGAGGGAATGTCTTGTTCCTATTGCCGACGGGATTGACTTAATGATGCTCACTGAATCTTAGTTGCTGCTTGCATTCATATTTAGTCGTGCTCTAGCAGCGATGTAAAGTCTGTTTGATTAATTATTGCTTTTATACAGATTGGTGCTGCAAAACAGATACCAGGAATTACTCCAGCAGCATTGCTCATCCTTATCCATCATATTAGAAACTTGCTCAACACCCCTAGCATTACCTGATGATATCTTATTCTGATATAAAATTTTTATCCATTCATATGCCACTTTACTAATGTTACAAATGGTGTTATTCACATAACAGTCACTGTGATTGCTGTTGTTTTGGGGAGAAAACTGTCTGTATCTCCAGCTTCTGGAGGCTCAGTGATGTGTTTGGCATAATTTTCTTAACTCAGACAGCTAGTTTGTAGGTAGATGTTTGTTATCCATCGATCAAAACATGTAAATTTACACACACCTAGAAACGTCAACAAAACAATAATTGTGAACTTTGACTCGGTAGGCGGGAGGCATGGCGGCATATCTCGTAAAAACCACCTACCCATCTACAGAAGTGGTCAGTCTGCATTTGGATGTGGCAGTCGGAGCTTTGATGTTCCTTTCATCTACCCTTTCAGTATTTTAACCTCAGTAATGAAGCCAAAAATGTGGTTTTGCCCTCAAATCTAGGATTAGCAATATCCCCCAGTCAGTCGAGTCTCCCTGTCTATGAAGCTGTATGATACACTGATTGCTCCAGTCCTCTCTTATGGCTGGAAGATAGAGATCTAGATCCTGCAGCATGGCGGCATTATGTCGTAAAAACTAGGCATCTTCACCAGACTTCAACTCAGTAATCAAGCCAAAAATGTGGTTTTCCCCTCAAATGCATGATCACTAGATTTTGCAATGTCCCCCAGTCTCTGTGTCTATGAAGCTGTATGATACACTGATTGCTCCAGTCCTCTGCTATGGCTGTGAATTGTGGGGATTCCAGATATCTAGATGGGAAATAAAATATGTTCTGGGTATAGGAGACTAATACACAGCAGTACGGTAGCGCACGTGCAGGTCATTTGTTTTGCTGATTCCGCACAACCAAGAAAGACACCCCCCCATGCCCAGCAGGAGAGGGATCGATCGAGGTCGTCGCGTCGGAGACGGTCACGTGATTGTACAAGAATTCCAATTAGCGTTCGCGTTGAGAAATGCGTGCATACCTATGCTCGGTTTGTTGACAAAAGACGGAGAATTCGCTTGAAAGAGTTGTCAAACAAAGGTATTTAGCTTGGCTCTAGGGCTCACGCTGAGATTTTAGTATTCTTGACTATAACTTGCCGAGGGGTAGGGGATCGCTGGGGATAATAGTATTTTCAGTATCTTTCTTACATCGAGTCAGTTGCTAATTCTCCCGGAATCCCGCTTGGTTTTGCGGGGAGAAATTGCTGTGTCAGCATTCACAATGACGCGCTTTCCAGTGGGTGGGGTCTAGCTGGGGACGAGCCTGTCCACGAAAGAGGGCGGGGTCTGGGTACGACCGTTTTGAGAGCTATAGATGGACCGAGAGGTCATTCTGAGGAGGAATGTGGCGTTCAACGTCATTTACAGAAGAATAACCTACTTTTATCCGAGATTTGTACATCCAATCATTCGTTGGTTGATGGAAGTCACGTTTTTACTGTTGGTAAAATTCCTGCACCTCACAAGTAGAGCATGACTATTATGTATTATTATTCATAACTTCGTGCTGTAGCCCGTAATCACCATATCCTCCTTGTATTCCTTCTAGGCAATTTTAACTCTATCTCTATGGAGTTATGTCCATATGAAATATGTAGTAGAACAAGAAGACTGTCTCACAGATATAAAAGATCGACCATTCTCTTTTGATGTTATTCTACAGGTATGTCCTTAAAATTTTACCTTAGGGTGGAAACTAAAAATGGACCACTTAAAATTAACCCTTGTTATTGCTCTCCTGTGTTTCAAACTTCAAAATGGTAATTATAGGGATCGCAAGGAGGCGAAACAGGGATGACCTAGTGTATGTGATGCGCTAGTTCAATGGATGATTGCTACATACTTTGACATAGCTTGCTTTTGTTAATTTTCCTTCACACAAGCCTTAGTTTGAAGTCTGTGGCTATCGTCAATTGTACTTTTTTATACCATCACCTCAAAGAATTTACTTACTTGTCTCCTTTCCTTTTTTACAGCATTCACCATTCACATGCATGATGTGTAATAAGGCCTGCCACTAGCGGTATACGGTCATTGAAATGCAATTAATGCCGGTGTACAAGGGATATACTTAGCATCAGCAATATTTCAGTGCGGTTGCGGGTACTAGAATGTACTGTTGTCAGAATTTGATTTCTATTTCTGTGGCTTCTAGGCTACAATACTGTACCTTTAACCTTGCTACAGACGAAACTTTGAATGTTAAACCATGAGCACACAGGATTCAAACCAATGATTATCTACAGGTAGAGGTGTACTCAAATACCACTGAGCTGTATTATTTTGCCAAGAAATATTCATCTCAGTCTACTAAAAATATGACCACTAGTACATTGAAAATGGATGGTGAAAACTATGGCAAGGACACAAATGCTGCTGAAAGAGATGGTGAAAGTGACCAGAACAAAAGTGAACAATTGAGCATCAATGTAGAACATGATGGATATGAACAACTTTCCCTTTTTGAAATCCTTGATATCTATAGTAAGTATAAGAAATACTTGGGGGTAGTATAATGACATCTATAGAACACCACTTAATAGAGAAGGAAAGAAGAAAGGCAGGAAGGTGGGAATATAAACAAAGATCTGCACAAACAAGGACACACATCCAATGAGAAATAATGTACATACCTCAACAGCTTAGAAAAATATAATAGAAAATTTGATCTCAGCCTCTACGGCTTAGAAAAATAATGATATCAGCCTCAGCAGCTTAGAAAAATAATTATATAATTATATATCAACCTCAATGACCTAGAAATATATTTTACCAGCCACTCCGGCTTAGTCAGCCAATGTCAGCTTATAAAAATATAGAGGCAGACAGTCTACATGCCCAGTCCTGAGAACCGGGAACAGGGTTTAAAGATCTTTGATGGTATCAAAAAATGTGCAGAGTAACACTAAAATTGTGGTTCCATCTTACATTAAGATAACCATTGGCACCATTCCCTAGTTTCCCAGATGAAATTTAGACATAATACTATTGAAAGCTAGGACTTCCAAAGCCTAACTTTTCTTTTTTCATGAGCATCGACTTTATCATAGAGTGGAATTCATTCTCTTGTCTAGCACACAATAATGTTTTCTTGAAACAATTCCAGCCCTCAAAATTCCTATATAAAACAGGCCTGAGGAGCTCCATAACTTACCTGTAGAAATATGGAGGAAATAAAATAAAAAATCCCGCAAACAAAAGAGGAATACAAGTAAATAACTAAAAAAACAGGGATGACCTAGTGCATATGATGCCAGTATAGTAAAATGGATGATGTTTACATCTTGAAACGACATATCTTGCTCACGTAAATTTTCCTCCACACAAGCCCTATTATTGTCGCGAAGTACGAGTGATCTCTATCGTATGATGTGCAGCTATGACTTGTTTCCTATGCACGTAAGACTGGTAGCTAATGCCCTCTCTCCTCAGTTTTGAATCGTGACTTTTGTAGTCTAAGACTTCAATGTTCGCTCAGCTAACCAGTTTTACAATGCTGCCTTCTATACAGAATCCGTTTGCCAGTCTTCACACTACATCATTCATTAAACAAACTCATGTCATGAACAATGGGCTATTTTTGTTATTTGTTGTTTACATTCCATACTCCCACTGTAGTCAAAGTATTAAAGATCGTTGATTCATTTCCACTCTTGTGCCTACAAAAAATGAGAAATCGTTGGCATCCTTATTTAGGGGGACACCAAAATTTTGGCGAGATCGGTTCAGCGAGATGCAAATCATTGACACCCTTATTAGGGGGGAGAGCGCAATTTGGGCAAGATAAGAACAGGTTCACCAAGATAAATGGTGTTACCATTCCATACTCCAACTGTACTCAAAGCATTAAGGTTACTTGGTTTGTCCGTATTTCCACTCCTGTGCCTAAAAATGTGAAATCGTTCACACCCTTATTTTAATGGGGACAGCGAAATTTAGCCAAGATAGGGATAGCGAGATGCATGTAAACAAAATTTTTTACAAAAAGAAACAATAGTGTTCTTGCACGACCTGTCATGGATTCCAATCTCTGTGCAAAGTTTTATCTCCATATCTTTCCTGGTTTTTGTGATACGCTTGTGTAAACTGAACAACAAGAATAATTTTGAAAACTTACTTTCTTGAATAAAGCCATTTCTTTGGATACATGCTTTTTGTGACTATTCGGATCAGACTGATATGTCAGAAGTTGGATCTGATTGAAACTGAAAGTGAAACATACAAATCTCAAATGTTTGGGCATAATGCAGAACAACCTACCGTACTTAGTTATAGGGACGGTATAAGAAGAAAGGGAGACAAGATAGGGATGAGATACATGAAGCATGGTTTATGAGCATGCTGGAACTCCCAACCCCATCACACAATCCCTACATTTTACCTGGTGTGTCCCTCGTAAGGCTGGTCTCCATCTGGGTAGTTGCAATCTGATTTGTTGATGCGCTGACATCTAAACTCTCATAAGCAATTTTTTTGTACTATACCTTTAGCGCATGTGCGATGGCGTTGGGCGAAGTCCCCCAGCGGTCTGCGAACTTGTTGTCGAAGTCTTTCTTCCCAGCGAGAAAATTGCCCTCATTTGCTGTTTTAAATACAAATTTGAATTGTATGCACGCATTTCCATAGCTGTAAACAAGTTAGACGCCTACACCCCCGTTTCATTGACGGATTAGTCTTACTTTTGTCTGTTCTTGTTAAAACATTGCGAGTTAGACACCTCGTCTATGAAAACTAGGCACATTAGGAAGCCGCAGGGCCCTCAACTGCTGGGCACTTATTTATAAAATATGTCTACCATCATTATGTGTAGCAAGGGTGAGAAGTAAAGATTTTAGAGAAAGTTCCCGAGGCTATTTTTTGTTGTCTACATACATGTAATCCAAATTAAATGGCACGGTAATGATGTAATACACATGCGTACCAAGTCTCATCTCCATGCGTACAACAGTTAGTAACTTCTAAAAGTGAAGGAAGAAAAGTGCCTGAAGCGTGTTGTTGTTCACAAACCCTGTTTTGATGTGTTTTTGATGTGAGTCGGCTTTATATTTTAGTTTTTACTGTTTGTGAGTTACATGTGCCCTTTATAATGAACTACTGCCTGGGGCTATTTCTTGGTGTTCACAGTAAACAACGTTGTTTACAAAGCAAAAATTACGCTTATCTCTTCTGGCTATAGGTCTTACGAAGTTTGTTACTATTATGTTACTTGGGTTTTTAAATTACGCAAGTCAAAGAAGATGATGAGCAATAGGTAGCAGGGATTCATTTAGAAATCGATCTAAGGGGAATTGTGAACTAGGCAAGTCAAAGTATCATTCTTGTAATGAGGTCATTACTTGGACTTAAAGCCAAGGACTAAGTTGCCAGCGGCCTAGCTGTGAAGTATGATATTATGTGAGTCGGCTTTAGTTAAGCAAGTCTATGTCGACACGGGCATTAGATCTTACTCTGTAAACCATCTACAATTGGTTTAGGTGGCATAGTGACTATAGTGTGTGGTACTGTAGTTGCAAGCCAGTCAGGCTTGTTTTGCATATTGAAAGTTTTACTTTGGGCGAGATTTGATCAAGGGGGGTTGGGGGCTAGGGCCCCCCTCTGCCCCCCCCCCCTCCCTAAATGAACCCCTGGGTAGTCTACCATGCCCATCCCTATAATATACTGATAGGCTGCACATTAATGTATGGAGTGTGTGTAAAACACAGTGCAGTGCAAAAGAGTCTCGGTATAGGTTGCATATGATAGTCACAACTGAGCTATGCAGATTTGGTTGTGTCTACTGTGATGTTGGGGCTTGTAAATAAAATTTTTCAATCTGTACCTATCCCTAATTTCAGCTTTGAAGTTGTACTCTGTGGATTACACTATTTTGGAGTTTTCTCAGGAACCTGGATACCTGAGTCTGAGTCATTCTGCTAGAGCACATCTTAACATCACAACGAGGCACCTATACATTGGTATGTTGCTTTGTTCCTTGTTTTTTTATGTGTTGATTTGCCTTTTTAATACATTAAGTGCTATTAAACAGGCATGTATTGGCGAGCAGTAGCAAGCCAACCCTTGTGAGTATAATATATAACTGTAATGACCCACCGACCACTGTACTTCAATGTTGCAAGTAATTCTAAATACACGTATACTTGCGTATAGTTCAAACATGCACGTGTCTTATATACCTCTTAGCTTCCCATGAGACACACACTCTACAGGTCCCTTCGTTTCTCATGGACCATATGTGGTTGTTTGTACAACCTACAGCAGACGGCGATTTCAAAAACCGAGGAAGCACACACGCAAAAACTGGCGGGACAGCTCGCAAACACCTGAAAAGTGGGAGACATGCCTCTCTCAACATCAAGCACGCACGGCGCGCTTCAGAAGCCCGCGAACAAAGACTGACGAGGAACAGAGCTTGCAGAATACAGTGTCTCGCTTGACACGGATGCTCAAGAACACACACGGCACGCTTCTGAAACGGAGGAAGCCTGCGACCAACAACTGGCGAGAAACAGAGCCTGCAAAATGAAACACACTAGTTGGCTTGCCTAGTGTAGTTCTTTTACTACAAAACTGCTGTAGCTTGTTGTGCAAAATAATATTATTGCCGACAGGCAGGCCCAGTAAATTGTGCAGAATAGCTGTCGACAGACAGACCCAGTAAATTGTGCAGAATAGCTGTCGACAGACAGACCCAGTAAATTGTACTGTACCCCTCGCTGCACATACATGGGGAGGGCTAATGATTTGCAATTGACTTTCTGGATTTGGTTAATTAAAGGGCAGTGTTGATGAGTCTAGTAATCACAGTGAAGTTATAACTGCTGGCTATTATTATGCCTGTTATTGTTTCAGATTAAGTGCCTGTGCAAAATACTAACTTTACAGGTCCACTGTAAGCTTGTGAATAGGACACAGGGTGGGGGTGTAGGGTGCAAGTATTCCACCCTGCAATAAGCTTACTATATGTACAGTGTAGTACTCACTAGTGCGTGAAAAGGTGCTTACTACATTGCACTGTGTTTACAAAGTGCTTGCAGTGCTATTTCCTCTCGCAACCTGCACGTGCGGAAAGATAAGTGCGTGTCGATTGGAGTTAGTACTTAAAATAGTTAGGCATCTACCGTTTAAATCTAGAAGCCCTCGGGCCCTTCACGTAGCATCCTCACTGCATTCGGAACGCCACAAAGCAAGGGCCCTCGAGCATCTAGATGTCATTTTCTCAATGTCTAAAGTAAAACTGTGGTTTATTGTGCACAGTAATTGCTGATCTCTATCCCTAGATCCAGAAAATAACACTTGCTTTGGAGGAGGCTTTGGCCGTTTCATCACTAAGTATATCCTTGGTTATGAAATGATGATCATTGCTAGCTTCAAAAACCTTCTACCAGCTAGTCAAGGTTTGAGGACGTGCATGGTGCATTATCATTTTGAACATTGAATTTAGGATCAGGCTACGTGAAAAATCTGGTAACAGGAAGCCATTACTATTATCGTGTGCAGTGGATGGGTAAGTGGAGATACATTGCAGGACTACTTCCAACTTTCTTCTTTGTGAGTAGTTATGCACAACTTTCAGTTATGTTCTATGTGTTAATTTGTAATAGACATTGGTAGCTTCAGTACTTCTGAGACAAATTCATTACCATGGATTCAAATTTTTGAGTGAGTACTTATTTTATACTCCTCCTTTTTGCATACATTATATTACTTTACCTCATTGCAGCTCACTTCCACCACCTGCTAAATGAAGGAATACCCATGCCAATCCAGACAGGGGCACAAGTGCCATTTCTCATAATTACATATGCCGCTATTGGTGAGTACACTATTGACTAATGTTGGAAGTGCCTGTTGATGTCATTTTAGGCTTGGTGATTGTAATGAGTGAGGCTTTAGGTGATGACAGTGTGTTCTCTCTCTTAATGGTTTCAACTGTATGGGAAGCTGACCAATTTTATGCAGTATTTTGTCGACACAAAATTTCAAGGGCATACTTTCCTATGTGAGTTAAAATGGGCATAGATTAAAAAGGAATTATGACCTGTTTCGGGAAAATGGACCATTTTTTTGTTGTTTGCCTTTAGTTTCGAGCTATATACCGCCAACAGATATTGGGTCAGTTTAGTTTTTCAAACACAAAAAATACTTACCAAAAACAAACTGCGCAGTGAGATGAAAATTATGACTGTGCAAACATTGCTGAAGTATGTGCCCATAATGTGCATGTATGAAATGAAAATACCTAATTAGGAACTAGCACTGTTTTGGTCATAACTCCATAGTGGTACATGCAATCTGAGAAGTTTTTTCTATCCAGCATGTAGAGCAGGTTCTGCCCTCGACGCTGACAAGGAAAATAACAGTTTCACGACAAATAGTCCCATTTCAGGTCACAATTATGTATTTATCATTATTAGGCCTGCAAAGTGACTAGCAATAGATTTTATCAGGGCCCGTGACAGACCGGTCTGACATGGTGGGTCTTAGTTCTTGATGATAGCGAATGTATGCACAATTACGGGCATCGGAAAACACACTATAACTAATATCTTGCACATCCAGTGTAGTTAACCTTCGGCACGCATGTACAGCGAGGGTTATAGTACAATACTTGGTCTGTCCGTCTGTCTGTCTATCTGTTACCACGTTTTCTGCCACCATGTGCAACAAACAGGTAAAATAGCGACACCAGCGCTACACTGGCTTCATTTTTAAAATGGTGATTTTCGTATAAGTGCCGCATTCAGAAGTTATGGCGTGAAAACCAAGAGAACAAGCCAATTGCCTAATTAGCAGAGGCTTACCTCGACCGGGTCCACTTGTTCTGTGGATGTTGAAGGCACAAGAAGTCGCAACAAACAACGTGTATCGACTCCGGCATGCTATCTACTACTGTAGCTAGACTCTCCGTGAGCTACTAGCGGGAGACCACGAGTAAACGCATACCATAATAGCCCAACCCATCAATTAGCGGTACCGCGCATGCGCAGTTCGCCGAGGGTTTGCACTTTTGATCAAAATTTCAGATGTTGAAAATACAATCTGCATATAATCTTTCTCACAGGTTTTTCTTTCTATACCATACCCTTCCATATGCCTATTTCCTGCGTTTTAATGGACAATTCTGGTTCCTACCGTTCCTATTCCATTGGCTTCTAATACAGGTATGTGCCGACTGTTATCAGAATGAATGGTTATATTCTACCCTCCTTGCAGAATGCAATTCTATTCTTTCTCCATCATTTTGAATTAAATGCGCAGAATCAGGCTGTTGAAAATCCAATACAGCTAGCAAATTTCCAGCAACAACACAGAATGCAGCCTCAACGGCTACCATTGGAATTACAGCCTCAAAATGAAGGACAAAACATTGGAAGGACTGTGATGAGAACTCATGAGGACGAGGAAGACAGGGAAATAAGTCAAAGAGCCCCAGTTGAAGAATCCAGAACTTCTGCAGAAGAAAGAAGCACCGTTTTCATCCCCAGTCTAAGAGAAGGTCATATGCCAGCTGTTGAAGTGGTTAATAGACAAGATGTTGGATCGCTATCACTGACAGATCCTGATAGGCAGTGTATAAGGGAGCGAAGATTAATGCACCTTGACAGACAGGGAAATTTATGATACTGTATGCAGTTTTAGGCATCATGTAACATTTTTCACCAACATAATTATTCACAAACTCTTTATTGTGCTGGAAATTTTAAATAAAAATATGGAAACATAACAAGAAAGTAGTTGCAAACTATTGTTGACTGTGTTATTGGACTTCACACCCTGAAACAATAAGAAGATAATATCTGCAGCAACTAATATATAAACTTGCTTGATTCTGCTGTTGCTGATAAGCAGTGGGGGTCTTTTAGTTGTGGTGTATCATTCTGTTAAAAACGGACAATTTGCATTATGAAACAAGCTGCCCAGATACTCATGTGCTCCCGCATGAAAGAGTGTCTGGTAAATAAGGTCCGTTTTTTGGTTGTTCTGAATCAGCATGTGTACGTAAATTGCGTAATCAACCTGTCAGTCACGTGATTAACTGGTCAGTGCTCCCATTGCGCATGCGCAGAACCGGTCGGCATTGCAGATCGCTTTCATGTCACATGAGTTTTTAAATCCGGAAATCTGATTGGGTTACCCGTTTTCCGAACATGCTGATTCAACACAACCAAGAAATCCGACCTTATTTACCAGACACTCTTTCGTGAGGGTTATAATCAGCATCCATACAAATTAATTATATCCAGTGAAAGAATAAACGGCTTGGTAGTTAGATGATGACGATGAAACAGCAGTAGACAAGAGAGAGCAGAAACGACTGTTTACTCTCCATAGATGATATTGTATCAATCTCAGCAACACATTGAACAACAAAAATTCTTCAAATTAAAAGTGTGGAATATAGGGATGCCATAAAAAGCAAGGAGACAAGACAGGGATGACCTAGTGCATGTGATGCATGGGCCAGTGAAAGAATAAACGGCTTGGTAGTTAGATGATGACGATGAAACAGCAGTAGACAAGAGAGAGCAGAAACGACTGTTTACTCTCCATAGATGATATTGTATCAATCTCAGCAACACATTGAACAACAAAAATTCTTCAAATTAAAAGTGTGGAATATAGGGATGCCATAAAAAGCAAGGAGACAAGACAGGGATGACCTAGTGCATGTGATGCATGGGATGATGGTTGGGATGATGGTTACATCTTCAAACTGACATTGGTTGCTTGTGTAAATTTTCATATATTGTCGCGAAGCATGAGTGTGCTCCCTCATAGAATGACTCATTTCCTAAGCACGTAATGCACAGGTGTTGCCCTCTCTGACAGCTCCTCAGTTTTTGCTGCAGTCTAAGACTTCCATGTTCGCTCAACGAACGATGAGTTTTACAATCCTGCGTTCGTGGCCCTCCAGAGATTTCCATTCCCATTACCATTGTCTTCACACTAAACAAATTCATGTTGTGAGTAAAAGTGGCGACAATATAGGGCTTGTGTGGAGGAAAATTTACACAAGCAAGCGATGTCAGTTTGAAGATGTAACCATCATCCCATTGTAGTAATGCACTAGGTTATCCCTCCCTGTCTTGTCTCCTTGATTTTTATGGCATCCCTATATTCCACACTTTTTTAATTCGAAGAATTATTTTATTCCTTTCCTTTTCTATGGCATGAAATTATAGTTCATAGCATACCAGCCATAGGTATATAGATAGATAGATAGATAGAGAAATAAATAAAAACCACCACCACCATAATTATTTACAAACCCCAAAATATCCACACAAAACACATACACAAATACACATGACATGACATGATAGTAGGACACTGGGTGCCCAGCCTTGAGAACCGGGACGGTGGGTTAAAGAGTCTTTAATGGCTAGCCAACTCTCCCCACACACCCAGCATCCAAACTCCACATCACAAACAATGACAGCCACACAGTGAGTAACTGTACGATAGCACAGTCACAACAACACATGTAGAGTACGATACATATAAATATAAATATATAAATATATACACAAACACAGATGGTAGAAAAAAGAAATTGGTAGCATTGTAGAAAAATAGAAAAATAGAATCTAGCTTACTTACTGGACGTAAAAAACAAGGTAGAATGACTCACTTGTAGCATGCACATGCATGGGGACATAATTCCCATATAAAAAGTAACATGTATTTATTGACTCAAACTCTTTCTTGTTGTTGACATATTCCTTTCACCACCAAAGTACATAAGTGTATCAAGGTTCATTTTAGAGGACCCAGCATAAGTTTTAGGAAAAAACAGCACTTAATTGCCTGAAGCTGTTTGTTGTTGTTTACAAACTTGTAATTTATGTTTCGGTGAACACTTATCATGGTTAATCAGTGTACCAAATTTCGTTGTTAGAGGACCCACCATAAGCAAGTTATAGGCACAAACATCATTTACAAGTTTTTATTGCCTGAGGCTGTTTGTTGTGTAATGTTTACATTTTTATACTTACTATGCGTTGCATATGTATACAAAGTTTTATCATTCTGGGTGTTGGCATTAACTATAATAGGCCTTGAGCTATTTTTGCTGTGTTTTGTTTACATGTTAACAACAAAATGCTCTTGCACGCCGGGTCACGGATTCCAAACTTTGTGCAAAGTTTCATCTCCATATCTTACCTGGTTTTTGAGATACGCTTGTCTAAACTGAACGACAACAACATCAACGAGAAGATTTGAAAACTAACTTCATTGAATAAATAATGTGATTTAAGCCATTTGTGTTTTTGACGATAGGGATCAGACTGATATGTCTGAAGTTGGATCTGATTGAAACTGAAAGTAAAACATACAAATTCAAATATATGGGCATAATGCAGGACAACCTGTGTCATCCCTATTATTCTAAGTACTGCCGTACTAAGTGAATGAATGAGAGTTGCAGGGTAAAATTCAAGAGTTTACGCAATAATTTTTCTAAGCGACTTCAATAACCTTGATGGAGGACGACGAGAGTGACCGTAAAGAGCAGCCATACAAAGATCACTAAGTACGATAGTACTTAGTATATAGGGATGGGCATGGTACCTAGCATCATAGATGTATGGGGCTATGATAGGGAGTTTTGTTCATCATCATCTTCTTCTTAAACAAGCATAACTCAAAAACCTGAACTTAACGGAAGGAACCAGCCAGCCCAGTAGTGCGCATGCGCGGGGTAGCGGACTGCGCGGAAGTTTGTTTCGGGTTGTCGTGGACAACCATTTCACGAAGATTGTCAGATTTGTGCGACGAGATCACTTCGGACAAACTAGTTGGTTTTAGTCTACAACGAAGGATAGCATACCTCTCCCCCTGTCCTCGGAGAACTAGTCGGTCTCTCCCAGCAATGGCGACGGAAGTTACACCTGAAACGCCACCGTCAGCGCCATCTTTCACTCTGGAGCAGCTGGTGGACAGAGGAGTTGACCTCACTCAACCACCTTTTGGAACATCCGCGGCTTCAGGCGACGGGGAAAACGGTGCCAGCGGATATGCCGGGGAGATCCTCGAACACCTCCGCGGGAGAGTAGTTTTTTCAGGGTACCAGGGTAGGTTTTGTTTACAGGGGTGTCGGGCCCGTGGCCTCTCCGTAGGTGCGCGACCGGCGTGCTGGCTGGGTCAGTGGGCGGTAGTCCCACGGCGGGGGTGTTCATGACAATGGCGTTTTTTCTCTTCGCAGGTACTGTACTGCCAGTACCGCCGGGGGCAATGCTGCCGCCACTACCTGTGTTTCCACTGGGGACGGTCCCGCCGACTTTGTAAGCCGCGCTCGCTCACCCGGCGTCCGTCCGTCCGTGCCGACAATGGTCCTTTCGGCTCCCGGGCTGTTCAATCCGGCAGCATCGCTGCCTCCGAAGGTGGTGAAGAAGGTCCTCGGTCTGGAATTCGTGGAGATGTCGGAGTTGAAAGCCGATGTGTGGATAGATGAGCCATCTACGGCGGAGGCGAACCCAATCCGTCGTGCGTCGAAGCCCCCAGTCACGGATATCAGGGTTTGGTTGGAATGTTATGGGAGGATATGAATGACGGGATTTACCCTACCCTCTGCTCACTCGCCTAGAGCAGGCGGCGGGGGTAGCTGCTGGCTTACGAAGAGGGGCCCTCTTGGCAAAGACAGATATTGAGTCAGGGTACCGGATTGTTCCGGTAAACCCGCAGGACCATCTCCTGCAGGCGGTGCAATGGAAAGACAGGGTGTACATCGATCCAATGCTGCCATTCGGTTTGTGATCCGCACCGAAAATATTCACTGACTTTTCTTTAAAATTACTTCCTCATTCCTCAAACTTCACTGCAGCACGCATGGAGGTGAAACTTGTGCGCATGTGTATTACATCGTTTCCACGAAAACCACAACAACAAAAAGCTTCAGGAACTCTTACTTCTTCACTCCTCAAACTCGCTAACGGTACCACGCATGAAGATGAAACTTGGTACGCATGCGCATAACATCATTTCCATGAAAACCACTTCATTTGAACAGCAACAAATAGCATCAGGCAATTTTCTTAAAAAATATACTTTTTAACTTCTCAAACCCGCTAAAGGTAGCACGCATGGAGATGAAACTTGGTATGCATGCGGAGCCTCCTATGGTTAGCTACTAAAACACCAGACCATATTGGGCACAATATTTAATCATAGGAGTGTAGTAGAGGAGCTTGACTTAGACGAAGGTACTGAGAATGTATATTGTGATTGTTATGAGCCTGCAGGACATGTTGTGACTGGAGACTTAACAATAATAAGAGACGCAAAGCTTAGATCACTATATACATAGTTATGAAAGGACCATCATATAGAGAGCAGAATTGCATAGATTGGACTACAAATGAGAGGTTATGTAGGGAAGCTGTAGCGGAATATAAACGTAAGTGGTTGACTAGAGAAGGTGTTGATATCCGAGCATTTAATGAGTGGGAGCATAAGCTCAATGAATGCATTAAACGGAAAATTGCGTCGCTTAAAAGTAAACATATCAACAAAAGGAAAAAGCATGTCCTTAAATCAAAGAAGCACTTACGGTCCTTAAAATTGTTACACAGCAAGTATGTGTTAGTTCCAGCTGACAAGGCCGCCAACAATGTCATTGTAGTGTGTGAGAGGTATTACTTGGAGGTGGTGACAAGAGAGATCATGGCTACTACCACATATGAGCCTGTTAAGATGGAACACCTACGCTTTATGAGAGACAATCACATTGTAGTGAAGCCTGAGCTTGAATGCTTGCCATCGTTTTACTGGTTACCGAAATTACATAAGCAGCCTTACGGTAACAGGTTTATAGCTGCGTCTTATAGGTGTACTACAAAGACTCTTTCAAAACTGCTTACAAGTTGCCTAAATACAATCATTAACCACTTCAGGCAGTATTGCAACGGAATTTACTGTAG